TATAATATAGTAGGCTTGTAGGCAATATAGCGCGCGCGCTCACTCGTCAATAAAGTGTCCGCCGCCGCAAGTGTAGGTATGTATACGAATATATATTGTATAATGTGTACATCGGTACCATCGCACATACTTTTTTCGATCCGGTTTGGATTTTTTTTCGCTTTCCGTCGTCGTAAAAATTCAAACTGCATACAACTATATTATAACCAAATATATAATATWATATTATAATATGGGTAGGTAAATATGGCATACTATATATTATGCATATTATAGGAATGAGTCGGTCTGGCCCACCCGGCTACCCGACGGCGATTGCCTGAGGGGCCATCGGGTATTTGGCAAGATAGCTGGTAGCCGGCACATGGCCAGTATAATATTTTATTTAAATCACGTCTTATTAGTCGCGAACGGGCGATTTCAAATTATTATTTAACTATAACGACACAACGGCGTCTGATTTATTCGACACATTGTGCATAATAATGCATATTATATTTTATCATTCGAATACATTCAGTKCGCAYAAATTATATATAAAATTGAACATTATGATGTGAACACTGAAAAAATATTTCGATTTCATTTTAAAGCAAGTTATATGAGTGTTTTAAGATATACGAACAATATTGACGATTTTAAAATACTTATGACTAGCTTCGAAATTAAAATATAATATAAAGCCCACGAGGTCGTTTAAATAATGCTCTTACTTTTAAATTTCRTAAGATGTCGATTCGGTCTAGTTTTTATACTAAACTAACGGAGCTAATGCTAAACACTTGCGRAAGACGGAGACAACGCATAATAACGTCCTCTGAAAGACTAACATTTTCATATATTATTATGCCAACTGCGATCTTCGACAGGCCAAAAATATCTTAAGGCGCCTTTAACTCGTCTGCAGCTTGATGGAGACATCGTTCGATTTATAACCAGAGATGAAATTATTAATATGATGGGATCATCCACCTGTATCACCCTGATTAATGATATTTATGTTTATTGAATTCTGCTTTTTTTTTCGTGCCTTAAGGTTTTTCTATTTTACGCGTACAAATTATGAAAAAAATATGCAAAACATGTGATCGTTGATCATGTTTTTTGAAGTTTGTATCGAGAGTGCTGCAGGAGACTCAATCATGAAGCAGACCGACACACACTGTGTATACATACATAGTATAGATCTAGTAAAAAGAAACAAAATAATAAATATATACTTTCGTCCAAAAAAACATATTATCGTTTACGACGCGGATCGACGATAATAATATTATTATATCTACTTAACTCTGCAATCRATACATCTGATCTGTTCCGTTGATTTATCGCGCGCTCACCGTTAATCGTTATCGGAAAGCGACGTAAACGTAATATTATAATCGCATTACGTGGGTGGTAACTCTTARCACGCGGGGGACGACGATTAAAAATGCGATAGATCCGTGTGCGCGATATTACCCACTCGCGTATATTCTTTCTAGTCGTATTATCGTAATATTATATTTGCTCATTTCGTGTGATGCGTATATCTCTCCCCCCTCCACCCTCGAGGTCCGGGGGRYGCGAGCATGTCTCTTATATTACCCTCGCGCCGTTTGCATAATAATATTATTATGATTTAAAGCATTTTTATCATCGTAACAATGGTTAATACCGTACATATTATTATTATTATATAGGTAATAGGTAGGTAGGTATGGGGTATAATATTATTGTAATTATTATTTCCGCGACGACATGCATAGGAAATCTCCCGCGAGAGGAAAACAATGCGGTTCTGGCATCGYACGCACACGCGTATTATAATATTATTATTAACCATATACCTACCAGTTACATGGTATAATACTGCAGCTAGGTATAGTGTACGATAATAATATTATAATATACAATTTTATATGTTATATACCTAAGCCGCTCGGTATATATATATATATACGGCGACGAAAGTGGTCTGACCGCTTCAATTCACCTCCGCCGCCGTTCAACCTGTCAAGTCTATGTGTATCCTAACCACCGTACCTCTCTATATATATATTTATCATAAAGTATTGTCGTACTTGTATATATACATATAAGTATATGTATTATATGTATACGTACGGAGACGATCCGAAAATGAGACGTCTTCGCGACGAGACTGTAATACCTAAATATGTAAAAGTTTCTTAAGGACCATGTAAACCACCGTTCGACGTTGTTTTATTAAAATATTTATATACGGTCGTCGGTCTTCGAATTATTTAAGTGCGCGCGCGCGCGCACACACACACACACACACATATACATGCGTAAATATTACATATTATATATTTATATTAGGTATGTTCACGATTCCGAAGTCGTCTCGTTTTAACGTAATGCCATAAAAAATTAACGGGTTCTTTTCTTTTTTTTTACTATAATAATCTTACGTGTGATCTTATCGAGTCTTCAAAAAAAAAAAAAAAACGGATTCGCGTAGAACGGTTAACACTTTTTTATGCTTAAATGTACGCGAGAYGATATATTATTGTTAGATTATCAACGCGGACGTCTTCTTAGATATCATAAACGGCCATAGTCTAAAATATATGTTAGTACGGATAGATCCCACGCACTAAACGTTTGTTTGTTTGCTGTATGTGTTTAGTTCAATAATAATAATAGTGATTATTGTGTTCTAAATTTAGAAAATATATTTAAAAAAACCCTTTTTGCTACGCATACAACCGGAAGCGCGATTTGTAGTTTTTGAACTTCCTTAAATTTGTCTGCCGAATTCTGTTCAGAAATGATTATTTTATGTTCATATATTATTATTAGTTATACGTAGCTGTATTTAATAACTGCGTACCCGCATAGGTAGGCAAGTATATACGTATCTACTGGAATCGATATTTTCGATTTTATTTTTGTTTGATAAAAAACTACTAATTATAATATATATATATAAATATGAAACTTGTGGTTAATTAAACCGTTGAACGAAGCAATATATAAGCCATATTTCGCTTTTAGAAAAATTCACGGACTTTTAATTTCAACTTAATATTCAAACAATATTTTTTCTACTCAAATTTTTAGTCTTATCGGTCTATTGGGTTTACAATTATTTGTGTTATTTCTAACTCACGATAGTCATTACTCATTAGTATCATCATTGTTTATATAATCAATGGTATCATGTATAATCAAGTTCGTTTTGTGTTCGTTTTTAGAGCAGGATAAATCATATAACATAATATACTTCACCTTCCGCCTGTTTATAAATTATAATAAACATATTTCCGAAAAATAATAAATAATGGGCTCTGCATTTTTGACCTATGGTAAAAATAATGTAATAGTCCACTGTAATAGTCCCTAGTAATGATTCTTAAATCATTATATAGAAAATCTCAATTAATAAAAATTAATTTCATAAAAATTATATTATCAATTTTGAAATTATTATTGCTTTATAGTATCTATGTATATATTTCATAATTTTAAGTAATTATATAATACATTGGTCTAAGCTCAGCATTAAGTAAACATACCAAAAAATATAAAATTAAAGCAACTGGAGGAACAGTCTACAATTTATAAAGTATTTTCATATAGTTATTCAGTGTGATCGTATCTTTTAAGTAAATCTTGATAATATTATAGGTCTTTATAATATACTATTATTAGAGTTATGCATGTTCATGAACGTAACCATCTCGCTGATCTTGCTAAGGGTGTACCTACTTTTTTGCAAAGTTCCTTTTGTGAAATCGGTTTTACGTAGAAACAAAAAACTATTAATTAGTTTTAGTTTTAAGTCGATATAAAATATGTACATAGTTTGTTTTCGCCCGAGTGTATATTATGTAAACACGCCTGTGATGATTGTTTATCATTTTATATAGGTATAGCCGTAATTGATATTCTGATCGCCAGATAACGATCACATTTTTAATTGAAAATATTGAAAATTCTCTTAACGATAATAATATCATTTCATTATTTTAAACATAATTAATAATTGTTTAGRTGATTAACAAGCACGAAACCGGTACCCTTATTTTCTATTTACCGCTTTCGGTCGTACCGGATATAAATTATTATCCTGCATAACTTTGTTTTGATAGTGTCGTGGAAATGAATCGATTTTGTCGTAGATTTGGCAAGCAACTGCAAAGTGTAAGCCTAATATACTTAATCACAATATCGAGATAATGTATATTATAATAATACCTATACGATACAAGCACTTTCGATTCCAATCGACACAGATTTTTGATTCTGTCGACAAAAATGTTGTCCTTGACCGGGACATTCGACGACGGTCGATAGGCGCAAATGTCTTGGTGACCTCTTGTTATTACGGCTCGTATACCAACCGTATACGGTTAGATTGTGAATAATAAAAAATTAAACAACACGAAAATATACACATCGCATGACCCGCGGACAATTATTATAGTGTGTTAACGTGCACGTACAGGTACCCATATATATATATGGATGGTAATTTGCATAAAAATGTACACTTTTGATAATTTTTTTTTCTATAGGTATTATTATTGTTATTATTTATCTTTAACATGGGAATTTTTTTTTTTTTTCAGTCGCTCAGCGGGTTCTTGATGATGATGACCCAAAACGGCAAGCTCCTATACATATCGGATAACGCCGCCGAATACTTGGGCCACTCGATGGTGAGTATATCCATCATTCGTATACAATAAATAATGTGCCTAAACTGCAGCGCGTATTTTATATATTAATTATGTTATAATATAGGGCCCGGATTTATATCATCTAAAAACCTTAGAAATATGCACTATAACATATGAATTTTTGCTCTTATTTTGTACGAATATGATACTGTGTAAAATAAACAATATGCAAAAATATCGATTAAAAAAAAAAATCTTATGTTTTCATTAATATGTGTTTACATAAAATTATATAATGTTTATATTTTTGACATTTTAAACATAAATAAATTAAAACGAATGAAAATTACGCGCATTCGGATCACGAAAAACACGACGTATGATTCACGAAAACCTACCCAATAACAGATTACTATACTTGTCCCAATAAAGGTCTCAAACAACATAAGAAAAGAACATAACATTAAAATTACACGGACAGTAAATACTTTTGATTAATGTAAGCAAAATATTACATAATATTATGTATTTAAAACAATATATATATATATATATGCAATGAAAAATTGTAAAATACAGAAATATGCAGTGTAGGTACACGTCGAAAAATGTTGTAACTTTGTATTTCGGATCTATTGACTAATTATTAAAATCTGTTGCTTACMTATAGCTATTTTTTGGTCTGATTAGAAAAAAAAACATGCAAATGCATATAAATCCGGGCCTTATAAAATATTTAAGTCACAATAGTGAATACATAGGTACATTATTGTATTATTGTTACACGCAAGCTCTAATATACTTTACGCGACTTTCTCCCTCGGCTATAGCCAAACTAGAAACTCTAGATTTTGCAAATGGGTACCAATCATATATGTATAGCTGTTATATRTATAATATATATGCATATTATAATATATGTGTGTCTTTCACAACACTATTGACCTTTTGGGTTCAAACCGATATTAAAATATACCAATACGCGTATTATATATAGGTATAATACTTAGATAATGCGTACCTATGTGTAGTGCGTATAATGCTAGGTAGGTAGGTATAAACGAAAAGGAAAAAAAAATCAATTACCTAATTTCTAGACCGGTCCGATTTCCACGTCCGTACGCATTTAAAAAAATATTAAGAACGAGAACTATACAATAATTATGATTTGAAAAGGAAAAAAAAAATATTGGAAAACGGGTTTTGTGGTCACTGCTAGCCCGTAGGCTCTGCCCGGACGCCCACGCCTTTCACCCGGGCGTACGTACGCGCGCGTATTATACGTACATGTGTCGTTGGTCTCGAGATACCAAAACTGCAGCAACTTTCCGGAATTATAATAATAATAATAATAATAATAATGTATATTAATGTGCATTTTTTTTTTCCTTTTTTACTGTCCGTCTCCGTTGATTCCGTTCTCTGCGGTGTGTGCTTCTCGCTCGCCTCTATTATATACGACTGTTAATGGAAAAACGGGTATCGATAATTTATTACTGGTAATTTACCAACGGTATTTTTTTTTTCATAAATATATTTTATCTTTTTGTTTTCACACTATAAGTATAATATTATTATCTTGTTCGCAATAACAGCGGTTTACAAAGTGCGAACGATGACGAAGTATATAATATAATATAATATATTAATATTTAAAATGTATTTTTACCAACGAGGCACACGCACTCGAGTATCTCTATCTATCCATGTATAATATTATGTTTGGAATCTGTCGGTTACGCTGTATATATTTACGTCATAACAGCTATATATAAATACRTAAACAACGAATTATTCAGTGCGGCAGTAGCGTGAATAGAAATAATTTTTGGGGTGGGCTATAATATGTATAGCGACGAACAATTATTATCTATAGCACCTAGAGACTACTATATAGTTTTGACAGTTAAAATAGATGTAATTTTGGGAGGGGTTGCAGCCTATATAYGCCACTGCAGGGCGGTATATGTGAGTGATATTCTGTAATAATAATAATTCTATGATGAGTTATTGGCAAATAATGATACGCGTGCTACAACGGTGAGACCATTGAATCACAGTTCGATCTATATGTATAATATTGTTTTATAGGTTAGCGCAACATCGCACAGGTCTTTAGGGCCGCGCGGGGCTGGAAATTTAATTTCGTTTTACTGTTAGGAGGAGGTAGGTACCTGTATATGCGCTCTATATGTGTTGCTTATTAAGACCCCGTCAGTATGCCACAGCGCCGCTGTAACTCGAACAATTGGTTTTAAATGACAGCCCACGCGAAAATCAAAAACCGCCATCGGCCGGTTTCGAATAGCATGCATATAATACATAATAATAACGGGTACGATCGAGTAGCACTGTCCGAGATTGAATATTATCAATATGTAGTCGAAAAATATGCGGCTTACCACCGCAGCAGTATACTGCAACAGCGACCTCATGTATAATAGGTATATACATAAAATGCATATATCTATTTTGCGGGGAGGGAATCGCTGCGGATACAATAAAGCGTACCTATATAGAATAGTGAGATATTGTTAAAATTTTCAATTAGCATAATAATAATATTGACCGTCGAAATCTTATTAGATTGGTGAAAGTTAATTCGTTTTTTTTTTCTTGCTTCTTCGAAGCCTATATGAAAAACCACTAAACATTGATTGGGCACTACTTAGAGGATATTAATCCGAAGGCAACCGAAAAACCTGAAGCGTGTTCTCCTCCGTTCACTCCTACACGCGCGCCCGCTTTCGGCCTACTCTTCGATCCTACCGTAAACCGCATATATGCGCCGACCGACCAAATAATCGCCTACAGATATAATAATATAATATAGATACGCGCGCGCGCGTAAGTTTTTTCACATAATAAGTATTATACACAGYCGTATAATAGGTGTACTTATACATTATTATGTCATAAAAAATAATTTTTTTGGACAAAATAATATAATGAAGTCAGCGCGTCCCTCGAACAGTGTTCTGCAATAATAGTTCGCGAAAATGTAATATTATACAATACCTATTATTAAGTCCGCCGTCAAGTCCGTTTCGAATCCAAAACAATGACACTGGATGAGGCTTAAGTACAAAACACCGCTGCATTCATAATACCACTATTTTATGGAAATATAGCTTGTGTTGTTTGCGTGGGTCAGTAATGCCGTGGAAAAGTGGCACAAACGAATATTATTATAAATATTTACCTGCGTATAAATGATAAAGCATACCTATTATATACGCACCGCGGAAAAAGTCGACTCAACGTTTATGTTTTATATACAGATATTTATTAGGTTGCCTGTGTTATGAGTTATGATTTGGAAAGATGTGTGCGCATCACGTGCAGTACGATATAATATATTATTATTATATGATACCTATACGAAAACTAATCTAGAAAAATATATTATGTTTTAATAGCAGACATGCAATCGTATATGTATAGAGGTATATAATATACGACGACGACGACGTCGTTTTTTTATTTTATCGTTATTAATCCATCCGAACGTTTCCGAGGGGCTTAACGCCGCCCTCTTGTTATCGCACCTCAAACACACACACACACACCTCACACACACCTACTTAACGAGAAAAGCCGGTAACGCGCACGGGCACGATCGCTTTCGATAATAATAATATTATTATCGACCGCTTCGTAGTCCCGCATGATCCGTGTGCCGTGGACACGATAGGTGCGATCGTGTGTGTGTTCCTCTTTTTGGTGATTCGATAATGCATTGACTAAGCGTTTCGTTTTGTAGTTGTTATTTCATTTTGTTTTCACCGTGATAACGTCTATACGTAGGTATACGGCGAAGGAATGCAGCCGCTGCAGTGATTTTCGAAAATGTATAATAAATAATATTATATTATATTGACCCGTTTCTCTCGGCGCCGCTTCCTACATTTCTCGAGACTTATCATCTACCCAAATATATGCACCGTGCGCACGTACCTTTATGATGTTATTGTAACGTTATATCACGCGCATACCCTCAATTTCTATAGTACGTTCAAATATTTGTCATAACGCGCGATAAAGGTATATATTGTGCGCATGCGTTTAATTAATATAATATTATTAGATTAGCGATAAGAAGAACATTATGTTAAGGTAGGCAGGTCGCAGGTTTATGGTACCTACCTAAATCATGGTAYCTATATACGACGGTGAGCTGCGCTGCGAATATTTCGTGTGCCATAAAAATAATGTAATTTTTTTACTATTAAATGATAGAAAATTCTATTATCTCGCGTGATCTACATTTAAAACGGCAGTAAAAAATAATTTGTTTAACGACCAATAATTCGTATTTGTAGGTCACGCTGAGTATATATAGGTACAATACATTTTATACGTACATATGTTTCACTGGTATACGCGTATGTAATATTATATTTATAGTGTTTTCTTGGATCATGCCAAGGGCGAACGGTTATTCAGCTAAAAATTATGAGCAAATTGCGTACTATTATGTACATTTAAACACAAACACACACACACACACACACACATATATATATACACACACACACGTATGTATGTACCTACGTTTAAGTTATTGATTATACGTTGGGCATTATGGACACCTTATGGTATTTACGGTATATACAAATGCAACAGGCTGCACATGTAAATGTATAGTAGGTATGTACAAATTATTTATACAGGGTGTTTCGCCGTGTTCGTCCTCGTATACGTTATATCCGCCTACATTGTGCATGATTAACCGTTAGTTATAAATTAAATTTAAACGTTATCCCTATTCGAACATAGGTACTGAACGGRAATCAATAATTCGACTTTGATAACATTTACATAAATTAATTCAATAAATCAGCTTTCTCGTAATGTTTTTGAAGTTAACTTCATAAACATGAATTAATTTAAATTAAATAAATAAACAATGTGTTTATGTACTATAATTTATATGTACTGTGTATACATTGTCATATATTATTACAATAAAAACGTTTAACGACGAATAGTTAATCAGRAAAAAAGTATTGTTGACGGTGAAAAATACGACGGTCATA